TTCTTGTTGCTCAGCAATGCCAGCACAGAATATCTATCATCAGGAAGATTCATCTCGTTGTTCCTATCAGAGAAAAAGACCCATTGACGTGATGAAACAAAGCACTTCCAAAAATATTTAAAGCACTCAATAAAACCTAAGTGCCGACTTTGAAGCTGAGCATTTGTTCAAAGATCTGATCCAAATCCCACTGAAATCAGTCGGAGTCCTTCCACTGACACCAAAGGGCTTTGGATCAGACACACCACTTTCCTGAATAGGATGAAGACATCCATAAATATTAATTGTCTCACAGTGCTTTGCTATGATAAAAGGTGTGAGGGTAGTAGGGGAGTAGATATTTGTTTTTCTTGTTGAGAAGGAAAAAAACTGGGCTAAATCTAAACTAATGATCAATTCTTAATTGCACAGTGGCAGGTCTGTCAGTATCCCCAAAGCACAGGCTATCAGGGATGCCTTCTGAAAGACAGCTTCTCTACCACATTTCCTGCTGAAACCAATATTGCTGCTGTTATAACACACTAAATTCTCTTAAGACAGTCAGGATTAATGATACAAAAAATCAGAAACTGGTAGTTCTGCTGCTGCAGTTTGTACCACCAGGGTAGAATCACACTGTGCTGTTATAAAACAGATTACCCCAGATATATTGAAACCAATCATGATGTAGTCTCCTTGCAATAAAAATCATGTTGCAGTTAGATAACGGGTCTCAAAAATGTGCAACCTTGGCCAGGGTCTGAGTCCTTGCAGGAAGCAAAAACTGAGGGAAGAGTTAGAAAGCACACTAATTTTAAGTCATAGTTAATTAAATCCTTTCATTTATACAATAGGTAGTCATGAAATGTCAGTACTCTGTGAAGTAGGCCAGCTCTCCATATGTTTGCATGGTTGAGAGAAATGGAGCTAAAAAGCACATCTGGAAACCAGAGAAATTCCTTACAGTTGATGGCACAGGCAATCACTGATTGCCAGCAAAAGGCAACTCAGCAGACACCACCCAGTCTGGAGTGCCCCTCTGCCCTCACACTGGCTCATCCAGCAGCTCTCCTTCCACCGAGGCTTCATCCCAAAGGTTTCCCTCTTCTGCCTCTCTTGGGCTCTAGCCAGCTGCTGTTGGGCAGCCCAGGATGGACACAGGGCCAGGGAGGGCACAGGCTGCTCTCCCTGCCTCTCCTTCCTCCCTGCCTCTCATGCTCACCCTCCTTCACCATCCCCTGCTCATTCCTCGCCTAAAGGAAGTTGAAGCCAGAGACTCTTTTTTCATCCTGTCCTTTACAGCACTCCCCAGTGCTGCTGGATGAGATAAAACTGTGGATTACAAGTAACAAGTATTTTGCATACTGTTCACTGCTAAATCTGGAATCTGTTTACTTCCTTAAGAATTCCTTTTAAGTGAGGCTCAAAAATCCACTTTACAGTATTGGAAAGACCCCAGAAATGTACATAGTCATGGAAGCAGACTATCTCCAGCTACAAAGAGACACACATGTACACAGAGAAAGCAAGAATACAAGGTACTTGTTGGAGAGCAATGATGATTATCTCAGAATCCTAAAAGCTTACATGGAGTAGGCATCTCATATGCAGTTCAGGATTAGAGGATGAGGAACTTAGGAGATCAGCAAATACCTACATTTACAAATTCGCATTGTTTTACTGCATCACCCATCATGATGTGTTCACAGAAATCAATACTGGCTTCTACTTATACCATATGAATAAACACTTCTTTACTTGCCAACAGCATTCAGGCTACCTTAATAGATTTTAATGATTAGTAAAACTTATATCCTGCCCTCCATCCAACTCACAGAGTTTTTGCTTTGTTTCTTGCTGCCTTCATTTTTTTATTCCACAAGACTTGGTGAATATGTTTGTTCCTTCACTTATATACAGAGAAGCAAACCCAGAAAAAATGATAGGTAAAGATGTGTAAGTAGTGTTTAGTATCCACCTGCAGATACAATGTGAAGAAAGAAAATTATCTCCACATTTTTCCAGACTTTTTCTTCTCCTTGATATTTACTCTCCCAGAAGGACAACAGCATGATGTGCACTAGGCAGGAAGGGTAATGATCTGTGCCAAATTTTATGTGCTTATGCTTCATGCTGTGATCTGGCTTTTTCTTCCCCTGCCAGCAGACAGATAAAGTGGTGGCTTCAGGACTGTGCAGAAGCCAAGAGCTGCACTGGTGTATGGAAGAGCACAGGACTAACAGACTGTTTGAAGCAGGTTAAGGCTGGCACCAGGCAAGTATTCAGTTCATTCTTGCTCTGCAGCTGTCTGGGAGTGTCCCCATGGGAAACAGGTAGGGGATAATTAAGGGCTCTTAAGCCAGCAGACAAGGATATTACAAGGATAAACATTTCAAACTGAAGACAGTTAGATGCAGAGTTGTAGAGAAAGCCCAGTCTTTTACCTGTGGGGGATGAAACCTATTGGAACAATTTACTGAACACGATGGCAGATTTTCACCATAGGCAATTGCTAAAATATGCCTGGCTATGTTATTGGGTTTCATTTTCTTTCTTTTTCCTATGAAGTATGATCTAGTTTGAAGAAGAATTAATTCAAATTTAACTGATGGCTTGGGTTATGCAAGATTCAAAAGCCACAATGGTTCTATTAAGTCTCATAATCTATGCAACTGTACTGAGTCTTCATGACTCTGCACAAAAAGGAGCATTGAGGGAACACAGCTAAATATTTGGGACCTGCACAATGCTTACAAATCAGGCATAACCTTGAGTTTCCCCAGGCCTTCACGGGCTGCTGTGTAAACCTGCCTCCTGGCCTTTCATCCCTGGAGGCTCCCAGATAGTCACAAACTGGAAAAGTTCCTCCATTCAACATATAAAATAAAAAGGCCTCAAAACAGGTGGAGGAAAAAAGCTGTTCTTTTATACTCTGTTTTTAATTGAAGGGATTATAAAACACTTCAGGCATGCTGAGAAATCGGGACTTTGTTCCTAAATAAAAAGCTGAAGCTATTATTTTTTTTTTTTAATCCTTGTTCCTCCTCCTACAACCATGGTTATTATATGCATGCATTTGCAGTGTAATAGAATCAGTATCATCTCTGTGTCTTATTACTGTTGCAATCCCCTAACATGCTGTTCCTTCCATCCCACATGAATCTGGTAATTACTGCTGAGGCATGCCATGCGTACGCTCTCCCTTCCAAGGCAGCATCAGCAGTGCCACAAACACATTTCCCACGAATTAGTAAACACCAGCAAGTGGCACAGTGCATGTTGCCTCATAAGCCAATTCCAGGACATGGTCCTTGCTCACCAGAAAGATGCACCTGGCTGAAACTCATGGACATAAAACACATGCACACTCTGAGACAAGGGAAAATTCACTGGAGTTACTTGTGCCTTCATTTTTGCAGTGTTGGAGGGAGCCCTATGAGAGCAGACAGTGCTGTGCTGGGCAGCTCAGGTGAGATGTGATGGAGGGAGGTTAAAGGAGCCTCTACGTGTCCCTGTGTGGGCCAGGTGTGTATGAAAATGCTCCCTTCGGAAAATAATAAAACAAAAAATAAATCAACCTGGGTTTCCTTTTACCTTCTCTTTTTAGGCTGATGCCCCCAGACTATGTTAGAAAGAGCTGAAAACAGGATTTGCTACAGCCTGTAACTAGTCCAATTTTGCTCCCCAAACACCATATCCTCATGTTCAGAGCAGAAAACAAGCTAAAAATCTCACAGAATAATAATCTGGCTGCTGGTGTATTAGTGTTGTAAAACAGCAGATCTGCCACACAGATCTTTCCTGATCTTAGCAAATTTTGCTCCTGAATTCAGCTGGATAGAGTCAGAATGGAGCAGCTCTGAGTGCGTTTCAGAATCCCACTCCTGTTGAAATTCACACAGCACCACACCAAAAGCATGCTCCAGTGTGGGATGCTCCTGCTCTTGTCACAACCACTCCAAATTTTAGATAGGGAAGCTGCAACTGCTTCAATCCCAAACACAAACTCCAGCACTATTCCTGTCCAGGAGCACTGCAAAGGCATCTGTGCTGGCTGCTGCAGGATGTTACCTTTCCCAGCCTCAAGAAGAGAGATAAAAATAGACAGTACATTTCTGCTGCTCCTAAAATGTGGGCTCTGATACATAATGGCTAAAGAATACCACAAGATGACAGTACCACTTTTGCCAATTCCAGAACTCTTTTGGCAGCAAACCTTTACACTCTAGAGACTAAGTGCATATAATACCCTATAAGAATCTGGCAATAATGCACCCTGCCCTGCTAGCACTTTAAAAACTCCCTGTAGAGTGCCTTTTTGTCCCCTCCCCCTGGTGTGAACCCAAAGTTTTACCTTTAGATAGAGACCAAGGGCAGCCATCCTTTCCCATCACACAGATCTGTGCCCAGGGCATGGAGCTTAAGCAAAGTCACAATAACCCAGATGCAACATCTTGCTCTTTTTAAAGGCAGCCAAACGCTACACCACAACATTTCAATGGGGCAGTGGGACAAATCCAGCCAGTGGGAATGATGGTGTTAGATGTGGTTAAATCTGGCTGCTCGGTAGTCGGGGGAGCGTTCCAGAGAGTGCAGGGATTCAGGCTTGGGACTGCCGCTGCCTGGCAGCCGGTTTGGTGGAAGGTGTTGAACTTCCCTGAACGTGTAGAACACCAGTGTGATGGGCAGAGCTCGGCACGGCAGTTTGGGAAGGGGGCTGGCTGCTCCAGCCGGAGCGGGGGATCGGTGCTGATGCCAGATCAGGATTTGCAGCACCGCTGCTCGGAGAGCCAGATTGTGCATGTGTGTGATGTGTGATGTGTGCGTCTGTGCGGCGTGTGCGGAGGATGTGTGCGGGCTGTGCGTGTGTCTCTGTGCGGTGTGCGTGTGTGTGCGGTGCGTGCGCGCCTGCCGGCTGGCTTCTGCCAAAGGAGCTGCTTCACTTGCTCTCTGTTTTGAGGGCGCGGATTCGGGGACTCGGGGCCAAAAATTCTCCGGACCCAGGTAAATCCGCTTGTTACCTTATTCCCCTTCCCGGCTCCGAGTGCCCGCGCTGTCCTGCAGGTGCTGTCAGAGCGCTCCCGCGAAGAGCAGCCGAGCCGGGAGCGGAGCCGGCTGCGAGAGCCACCAAGGGAAGGGGGGGACGGGGACTGGGACAGGGGGGCTGGGAAAAACGTGTCCCCCCCGCCCCCGGCTGACGTCAGCGCGGCTCCGCGCGGGGCACCCGGCAAAAGCGCCGCGCCGCGCCGCGCCCCGCGCACTGCCCGCGCTCAGCGCCGCGAGGCGTGAGCGGGCGATGCCGCTCGCCGCCGGGCGCCTGGCTCCCGGGGCGCGGCGGCTCTCGGCGGCGGCCACTGCCCCCAGTGCCCCCTCGGGCGCCCCGAGAGCAGGTACGAGCGCGGGGGACGCGCGGGGAGCGCGGGCTGGGGGCGCCGCCGCGGCGGGGAGGGTGTGCTGTCAGTCCGCGCGTCCCCCGGTTTAAGATGCTGGCAGGCACCGGGAGCCGGGCAGCCGGGTGCGCCGTGGCCGTGGGACGGGCAGCGGGGACGGGATCGTGCTGCTGCCGGCAGCGCCGGGGCGGAGGCGGCGGCCGCGACGGGCGGAGGATCGGGCGGAGAGCCCAGCGCTAGGGACCCGGGTTTCGGGGAGCTCCCCGACGGGGCTTCCCTCACAGCAGCTCCGCAGGCGCTTTCCGAGAGGAAAAGAAGGGAGGAGGAGGGGGGATTCCAGAGGAGTTTGGAAGTCGCTGCCTTGCAGCTCCCCTTCCCCCCCAGCCTTCCGACCTGCTTTCGCTCTCCCCGTGCAGCCTCTGCTCCCGGCCGTGTTCACTGGGGATTTCTTCTTTCTCTCCTTACCTGTCTCAAAAGGTTTGACTGTAGGTACCAAAGCGGGGATCGACGGCGCATAAAGATGCTGAAGGGTGTTTGGTTGCTCAGTTTGTTAACAGTGGCTGGGATCTCGTGGACAGAGAGTCGCAAACCTGCCAAAGACATTTGCAGCAAGAGCCGCTGCCCTTGCGAGGAGAAGGAGAACGTGCTGAACATTAATTGTGAAAACAAGGGATTTACAACCGTCAGCCTCCTCCTGCCGCCCCCGTCCAAGATCTACCAGCTGTTTCTCAATGGGAACGCACTGACTCGCCTGTTCCCCAATGAGTTCGTCAACTATTCCAACGCCGTGACCCTGCACCTGGGCAACAACGACATGCAGGAGATCCGCACGGGGGCCTTCAGCGGCCTCCGCACCCTCAAGAGGCTGCACCTCAACAACAACAAGCTGGAAGTGCTGAAGGAAGACACCTTCCTGGGCTTGGAGAGTCTGGAGTACCTGCAGGCTGATTACAATTACATCAGTGCCATTGAAGCGGGGGCATTCAGCAAGCTGAACAAGCTCAAGGTGCTGATCCTCAATGACAACCTCCTGCTGTCCCTGCCCAGCAATGTCTTCCGCTTTGTGCTCCTCACTCACCTGGACCTACGGGGGAACCGGCTGAAGATGATGCCTTTTGCTGGTGTGCTGGAGCACATTGGAGGCATCATGGAAATCCAGCTGGAGGAAAACCCTTGGAACTGCACCTGCGACTTGCTGCCACTCAAGGCCTGGCTAGACACCATCACCGTGTTTGTGGGTGAGATTGTCTGTGAAACCCCCTTCAGGCTTCATGGGAAAGATGTGACCCAGCTCACCAGGCAAGATCTCTGCCCTAGGAAAAGCTCCAGCGATTCAAACCAGAGGGAAAAACACCCTGTCCTCTCAGACCCACACATCTCGAGGCTATCGCCCACAGCCAACTCTGCCATCAATCCTACCAGGGCCCCAAAAGCCAGCCGGCCACCCAAAACCAGGAACCGCCCCACCCCCCGTGTCTCTGTGTCAAAAGACAGACAAATATTTGGACCTATCATGGTTTACCAGACAAAGTCTCCTGTGCCCATCACCTGCCCAGCTGGCTGCATCTGTACGTCCCAGAGCTCAGACAATGGCCTAAATGTTAATTGCCAAGAGAAAAAGATAAGTAACATCTCTGATCTCCACCCCAGGCCGACCAGTCCAAAGAAACTTTACCTTACCAGTAACTATCTGCAAGTCATTTATAAAACCGATCTCACAGAGTACAGCTCGCTGGATTTGCTGCATCTAGGAAATAACAGAATTGCAGTGATACAAGAAGGTGCCTTTACAAACCTCACAAGTTTACGCAGACTTTACCTTAATGGCAACTACCTTGAGGTTCTGTACCAATCCATGTTTGAAGGGCTGCACAGCCTGCAATATCTCTACCTAGAGTACAATGTCATTAAGGAGATCCTGCCACGCACATTTGATGCTCTGAGTAATCTTCATCTGTTGTTTCTCAATAACAACCTGCTCAGATCCTTGCCTGATAATGTCTTTGGAGGCACTTCCCTCACCAGGCTCAACCTTAGGAACAACCATTTCTCGTACTTGCCTGTGAGAGGAGTCTTGGACCAGCTCTCGGCTCTGATTCAGATAGACCTCCAAGAGAACCCTTGGGACTGCACGTGTGACATCCTGGGGCTGAGGAACTGGATAGAGAAAGTCACTGACCAGAACAACCAGCAGTCAAATCCCCCTGTAGTTATCAATGAAGTAATCTGCGAGTCTCCCACCAAGCACTCTGGAGAACATCTGAAATTCCTGAGCAAAGAAGCCATCTGCCCAGAGAACCCCAACTTGTCAGATTCTTCTGTCCTCTCCATGAACCAGAACACCGATACCCCCCATCTCGGTGTCTCACCCAGCTCCTACCCAGAATTACACACCGAAGTTCCGCTGTCTGTCCTAATTTTAGGCTTGCTGGTTGTGTTTATTTTGTCTGTTTGTTTTGGGGCAGGTCTGTTTGTCTTTGTCCTTAAGCGCCGGAAGGGGGTGCAGAGCATGCCCAGCAGTGCCAACAACGTAGATATAAGTTCATTTCAGCTCCAGTATGGGTCTTACAACACTGAGACCCACGATAAAACTGAAGGACATGTTTATAACTACATTCCCCCTCCTGTTGGACAGATGTGCCAAAACCCAATCTACATGCAAAAGGAAGGGGATCCAGTTGCCTATTACAGGAATCTCCATGAGTTTAGCTATAGCAGTCTTGACCACAAAAAAGAAGACCCCACCAGTCTTGCATTTACCATCAGTGCAGCTGAATTGCTGGAAAAGCAGTCCTCACCGAGGGAACCAGAGCTCCTGTATCAAAATATTGCAGAAAGGGTCAAGGAACTCCCCACCGGAGGATTAGTTCATTATAACTTTTGTACCTTACCCAAAAGGCAGTTTGCCCCTTCATATGAATCCAGACGCCAAAACCAGGACAGGATAAATAAAACTGTTTTATATGGAACTCCCAGGAAATATTTTGCAGAACAGTCTAAACCTGAGCATCCTTTACTCCAAGGAAAGCTACAAACAGAACCAGACTACCTCGAAGTTCTGGAAAAACAAACTGCAATCAGTCAGCTGTGAGGGGGGAGGTGGGAGACAAAGGAAATTTTTTTAATGAGCTCAGAATCATATTTCACTGAGTCTGAACTCAGTACTGATGTCATCTGTCACATTCCCAACATTTCCACTTTTTTAAATCAGAGAAGGAGTGAGAGAGAAAAAGAACCCTTGCAGCATAGCAGGGATGTGGTGTTGCTTTTGCAACGTTCCCTCTAAGTTATTTCTATATCTCTCTCCTTTTGACCCTTCTCTAGGAACTGTCATTGCAAATGTATCTTTCTGTAATCGATCTTGCATAATTCTTTTTGATTTTGAAGGAAATGAAGAAGGGGTCTCTGGGGTTTCTGTTGTTTTTTGTTGGTTTTTTTTTCCTTTTCATTTCAAAATGGAAACTTAATGTATTGTGTAGAAGATCTCCAAAGATCTTTTTTTTTTCCTGGACTATGACTTTCTTTTGTAAATAATAATATACAGTACTGCTGTTTCAATTACCAACTATAGCCACTGGGCGTCACTTTTTTGTGTTAAAGTGCCTTTGCACTTTAAGTACATTATTACTTAATTGTTGCTCTTAGCTTTGATAAATTGAACCTATTTTAATGTGTTGTATTTTTGAAATTAAAAAAAAAATTGTAAAATAGATCTATATGTCAGCTGCATTAAATCAGAAGGTTTGATTTATAGGAAAGCTGCCCTTCCTTAAATGACTCTAGTTCTAGGACCTTACAGACTCAAATGTAAATTATTGGGGTGTTTTTTCCCTCTAGGTTTGTTTAGAGTGACTCACAGAAATCAACTGAGAGGATTTAGCAATGGACTAGAGGTTATCAAATGCCTCAGCTGGGAATAACAGCTCATTAATAAAAGATGTTTAACACAATGTCATAGTGAACTGAACAATTAATGTCCTTCTTAATACATTGCATTGCAGCTCTAACACAGTAATGTTCAATGGCTTAAGATTATTTTCATACTTAACAGAACATTACTCATAATATTTTATGCATTGGATTAGGTATTTTTATACATTTTGGGACAGAGTTTATATTTCTAACTTTTTGGACTGAAATTAACATGTCCTCTTCTTGCCAGATACATATTTTTTTCATAAGCAGGGACACCAGCAGGGGTCATCCCACACCTCATTAAATTTATTAACATACAGGCAAATGAACCAATGCCAAAGGTAAAATTTGAACCCAGGACTCCAGAGTCCTCCAACTGAAATCAGTATGTGCATCCCACTAACTTTTGGTAGTCTGAACTGTGTCTATGTCTGTGCTTTTTGTCTCTAGAGCAAAAGCAATACTGCAATATTTCTAACCCGTTACAGAAAACTACCTTTAAGTTCACTGTCTTAAATTTTATAAAATGTTTTAAGTTAACTGAATTCCATTCTCAACACTGGTTTTCTTAAGCCCATCAGTGAACAAATCCAGTGAGTCTTCTCCTTTCCCATTAACTCAGGCCTGTTTTGCTTCAAGCTTTATGTTATCACCTTCAATTTACTTTTCCTTCATGGAGAATATTGAAACCATTTTTATTAACAAGTATGCAGTCAAACTTTATTAAACCTTATTAGCTTCTAAATAATTTTTAGATGCAAACATTATTGTGCAATTTAAACAAACAGCCCTTATTTACAACAAAAACAGTTTTGTTTTGTCTGTTCTAAATCCTTATGCAACTGGGATG